TATATATATATTATTATTATTATTTTTTTTTTCGATAGAGATCCCACAGCAGGCGGAACTTGTCATAAAGTTAGTGATAACAAGGCCCGCCCATTTAGAGGAAAGATATGATTGGTCAATTTTTCTGTCATTCGAAATTACTCCCCCATTGATTTACTATTGCTCAATTGCTCTGTAATTTCATAGCTGGACCACCAATCACAGAGCCGCAGACGCTAGGCGGAAACATTCAAATATGGAGAAAATGGGTGGTGTTTATAAGTCCATTCACTGAATACGCAGATTTGAAGAGTTTTTTTTGTTTTTTTTCACAGAACTTGTATTTATTTTATTTAGATGATGTTTGTCAAATTATGAATTGCTTAAAATTAATAATTATTATTTTATTAAAAATATTATATTTAAAAAAATAAACGTTTATTTAAAAATGGTAAATATTGTTTTTACAATAAGTAACGAACGCCCTCGCATAACTGACAGGGTCGGGGTTCGCCTCAGCCACGGCGATTAACATCACTCGTTTCTCCATTTGGACGGGGAGAAACGAATGGGAAAACATAACAAAAACACTTTTCAAAAAACGAAAAACAAACACGGGTAGAAGGGGTGCCGCTTACTGTCACTTTTGGTCTGGAATTCTGGTGGTAGTGTGAAGAGCACGGAACGAGGAGACCAGGTAGTGGGTTTCGTTGCCATGGTAACTTACGCCACACAGCTACCCTGCTCCGGAGCAGGCTTTATTCTGGTTTAGATATCGCAAACCCAAACTGGACAAATCAGCTGTGAGCAAAGGGATGCAATGAAGCCACTCCCCCGTATTTCTCGCTCCAAATTAAAGCAGTTTACAGTCAAAGAATGTTAGAGACAAAATTTTGCAGCTACTTATTTATTATATTTATATTATATTAATTGTAATTCAGGAACTCAACGGGAACATACACGTGACAACAATATGGTGAATTCAGGTAATGTGGGCTATTTTTTTGTAAAATATGTAATTTAGATACCTTTATTATTATTATTTTCTTTATTACTTTAAGGCCCAGCTATACTATTTCAATTGGAATACAGTTCATATAAAGTGCTATTTACAAGGTATCAAGGTATATACCAATAAACATTTTGAGATCATGCACTCCAGACAAATTTATTTTTAGGTAAAGTGGGCCAGTTGGTCTGGTAAAGCCGGGCTCACACTACAGGAGTTTTAAAATCCTAACCGATTATGAAATCTGGTTGCAGCACACACATAATGAGAATCTTTGCAGATTATCTTCCCTCAAATCTTAAACATGCACACACTACAATATTTGAAAATTGGGGCGTATCACACACTACAAGATATTATTAAGATTATCATGCCATGCTCCAAGATTATGGAGCGCCTCATGTGATCTCACGCAGCAGAACGTCATTGATATTTCAGTGATGTTTACATATGTTAGCTAGTATGCTAGCAGCTTTCTGCACTCACCCGGTACTTTCAAAACTGAGGCGATTTCACCCCAGCACTTCTCTTTCTCCTTATGGTTGTGCGGAATGGTTTCCTTTGATTATTGTGAAAGTACTGACGTAATCATATAGCCGTCATCATCCCGATTAAAATCCTAAATATCAAACATGTTTGATATGATCGGGGCGGCCCCGATTTGTGTGCAAGCAGATCAGGAGGTGCACGATTTGATCGGTGAACGCTTCACATTAGCAGATAATCCAAGCCGAACATCTGGACCGATCGTGGTGCTCAACAAGATTTTTGCTCCGATTCTCGGGAGGGGGAAATCGGGGGGAAATCAGGCAAAAAATCCTGTAGTGTGAGTCCGGCTTAAAGTAGGCCATCCTTTATTTATCAAAATTTATTCTGCATCTTATTTAAAAACACATGATTTATTAACACATATTATCAGACAAACACATTTAACAACAATCCGTTAAGCATTACATAATGTTTGTTAATTATTTATTAATGAAAGTTATTATAAAGTGTTACCAAAAAAAAAAAAAAAAAAAAAAACTTTAAAAAACTCCTCTTCCTTTTCAGTGGTCTCCAGCTCCTGTAACACACGCTAGCCTGAGGCTGCCTCC